TGTATTTAAAATAAATGGAACCGAGGGCGGAAGAAATTATGCTGATGCGGAAGATATTGGATTAGATAAAGATTTTTCTTATACTGAACTTATACTAAAATATTGAATTTGATTTTTAATCATATTCTTGTAAGGGATGAAATAAATATATTTGAGCTGTACACTGTTGTGTAATGTGCCTTGCAGTTGCAGCGAAATTTATTCGAGTGAAAATACTTTAAGTCTCTATAGGCAAACAGACGATGAAAAAATTCAAACAACTGTACTGGCTAATTGGCAGAAAATCGAAAATGTCATACGCAAACAAAGTTTAATATACAAAACCGTACTAGTACCAATATGGAGCTACGGAATAGAATTATGGGATGTGCAGTGCATCAAACATAAAAATTATACAGCGTACCCAGAACAAAATATTAGAGCAATGGTAGATGCGCCTTGGTACCTAACTAATGAGACCATCCACAGGGACCTGGAAATTAAAACTGTAAATGAAATTATAAAGACCCGGAGCTGTTCTTACCACAACAAAATCGATGATCATTCGAACGCTGAAATACAAATCATCAACAAAATGGTTCAAACAAGAAGACTCAAGAAGAAATGGCCAAAGACCTGCAATATTGAATTATATACAGACAGCCGCCATAGATTAATTCTAGCAGAGGATCTCTTCAATGGAGGAGACCTCTAAACGCCAAATATAACTTATCACATAGGCTAACTGAAATTGTCTTCTGATTGTCTATTAAATAATAAATAAAAAAAGTCTTTATAGACTAATAGACAAACTTTATTAATTTTAATTACAGTATAGTTGGAGTAAAAAAATATTTATTATGTTATTGAATAGATCCAGCGTCGCCGTGCTGCGTCCTAACCCTATCACCTCGGGTTTCTTCGGGTATCCCCGATATCCTTCGTCTATCCTAGCCTTGTATCGTAGTGGTGTGCATACTATATATAGGTATATAGGGGTATGCAGCGGGTACAACAACACTGACCTTTATCAGGAGACAACTATTGCAGCAATATCCTTAAGGTTAGCTTCAAAACAAATTACTATCGATTTCAAGTGAAAACCTACTTTACTGCTGCTTAACATTAGACTGTCCGAGGCAATAAAGATATTATTAATTTCCCGAAGCAGAAGCTTGCTTTCCCTAGAAAATGAAATTTGCTAGTTTTATGTTTTCTCTTGTCTATATATGTATAGAAACCAATTTTTTAACTTTCGTCGATGTTTTTTTTCTAAAACCGCTGAACTGATTTAAAAAATTTAAAAGCCATTCGTTTCAACTCGATAAGAACTTACGTTAATCACTTTTTCGAAACGACCGCCCAAGCCGTTTCTTTATAATTAACAGAAAACTGAATTTTTTTTGTCCACATTGGTTGGAATCGTGCTGAGTAGTTTTTGGTAATTAACTGTAATTAATTTTTTTCTTGACGATTTTTATGAAACTTTCTTTGGCGATATCTTGGTCTTATGAAACATACTAAAATATTACAGTCTAACGCCAAGTCGTTTAATTTCAGAAATTCTACAAAATTTGAAAAAATGAACATAGTTTGTTCTGATGCCAGTCAAAATTTGACTTTGTCATCGACGTTTTCTCAAAAAACGGCTGTTCCAATTTCAAAAATTTAAAAGCCAGTTGATAATTACAAAATGACATATTAATGAATTTTTTCCAGCGTGTACAATTCGTCTTCTACAATTCATTTACTTCTTAGCATTTTTTCCTACAATCTATTTAACTTCCCGTAGGGCAAGTTATAGTAATCGCAAAAAAATCGAAAATGAAAGTTTTTAGTTTGTTGTTTCAGAGGTTTCTGAACATTTTGGCATACCTTGAAATAGGATGTGCGTGTGGGTGTGTGTGTATGTGTGTGTGTGTGTGCAGATACAAATTTTCGTCGACGATTTCGGGAACACGGTCCGCCCGATTTCTATTATTAAAAAAACATGCGATTCCTATTAATAAGGAGACGTGCTGATTAGTTTTTGGCGCAGGCAGGTCTAGCCGTTTCGAAGATACGGGGCAAATAGTGACAACAACGGCAACTCAGTTTTTAAGAGAACGGAGCGTCCGATTTGAATAATTCAAAAAACATTTTGCTTGTATTAACAAGATGAAGAACTGATCAAATTTGATGAAGGCAGTCTAGCGGTTTCGGAGATCTAGTAAAGAAAGTAAAAAAATGTCATTTGGCGGTCAAGAATGATCATTAGACATATGCACATCAAATTATCAGATATTTTATAGAGATTTTAATAATAGTATAAATTTTGTTTACATTCCTATAGTTTCCGTCCAGTGTTTATCGGCTAGACGGCGGCGCGGCGCTTACGCGCTTCGATATTTTGTCTTTATGCAGTTAAAGCAGTGATATTGCTTTGAAAAAAAGTTCAGAATTTCCAAAATATTTCAAAATAAATTTTTCTTTCAAAAAGTCTTTATATTTTTTAAAAAGTAAATTTTTGTCAAAAATTATAGTTTCTTAAAAATCTAATTTATTCAGAGTAAATTTTTTTCAAAAATGTTAATCGTTTAAAAAAAAAATGGTACGGAAAGTTCCAGCAATTTGCTGTCAGACACGATGCCAGGCACCACTTGTATTATGTTTATAACATTAACAATGCTCTAATTACTCGACCTCTAAGTACAAAATCACATGTATTAATGAATTTTTCCAGAGTGTAGTATGTCACCACGGCGTATTCAATAACAAGAGCGGCGGCTGCGATTGCGACCCGGGCTACGAGGCTCTTCCATTCGATCGGGAGTATGTTGGCATGGGCGTAGGGGTTGTGCACTTGTGCACCGCTCCCAACAGGGGTTGGAAACACCTCAGCGATGCGGAGCTGCGTACTCGGATGGCTGCGATATTTGTATCCTTTAATAAAATATTGGTAGTAAATATCAACATACTCATATTGGTAGTATCGATGATTTTTCTGGATTGCCAATTTTTAAGGTCGTGGTTAGGGAACATACCTTTTGTTTGTTTTTCACATTTTACCCTTAACCCGTAGGGTGAGTTTTATAATAGAGAAAAGTCACCAAATATGGAATACCATTTTGTTTTTGGAATATAAAATAACTTTATATTAATCAAATCAGTTTAATGTTTTTACCAATCAGGCATACATTTATATGTAGCAATTAACAGCCTTTAATCAAATATATTAGTTATCAAATTGAAATCTAACACATAACACAATATCACGAAATAAGTAACCAAATATGGAATAGAAAGCCATATATGGAATATAAGCAGGGCCGGATTTAGAAATTTGGCGCCCTGGGGCACTGACAAAAATGCCGCCTCATCCCTGACATTTTACTTAAATAGTTTTTATATATCTTTTTTTTAAATTAAAATAACTATTTGATTGCAGAAAATGTATCAAGCATTACATACTATAAATAGTGGTGCTTGGCATCGTGTCTTATGGCAAAGTGCTGCAACTTTCCGTATCGAAAACTGAAAAAAATTGACTTTTCAAAAAATTTGTGTTTTTATATTTTGAAATATGTTAAAAATTTTGTACTTTTTTAAAGCAATCGAGCTCCTTCAGCTGCGCAGACACAAAATACAGAAGCGTGTAAGCGCTGTTACAGAACCCATAGAAATGTATACAAAATTTATACTTATCATTAAAATATCTGATAATTTGATGTGCATGTGTCTAATAATCACTTTTGATCGCCAAATGCTTCTTTTCCAATTTTGTTTATTGGATCACCGAAACCGCTAGACGTGCCTTCCACAAATTTGAGCAGTTCTTCATTTTGTCAATACATGTACATTTTTTAATGACATTGGACGCTCCGTTTCTCAATAACTGAATTATCATTTTTGTAATTCTGGCCCGAATCTTCGAAACATTTGGACCTGCCTTGGCCAATAATTAAATAACACGTCTTCTTATCAATTGGAATCGAATCATTCAAATCGGTTGATCCGTGTTCTCGAAATCGACTTGAATAATTAAAACAATATTAGATTTGTATTGATGGAGAGACGTTCTGATTAGTTTTTGGCACAGAAAGGTCCAGCCGTTTCAAGAAATGGTAATTAAGTTTTGATATTCCGTCTCCAAAACAGCTATGCAACGCGCTGAACTTTTTTCAGCGCTTTGAAAAAAGTTCATAACTTTCTTCACGACAACAAAACAAAACGCCCCTGCTACACGTGAAGCGTTCGCGCAACTGACTCGATGGTGTGAGTGCGATAGTTAGTAGACTGAATGAAACAAAAGATTTTTTTTTTTATTATTATATTTTTAACAGCAATCAGAACCTTACATCATATGAGCTGTTGGGCTGAAACTTCTCCTTACTTCGTATTTTTTAGATGGTAACCCAATGGTTAATCCATCCATATTTGATGATTTTTGTTATTAGAATTAATCTAATAAGGCTGACTTTCTATTGGTGCAGCAATGCCGAGGAAGGGCTATTTTCACTTGGAAATATATTGCTATCTATGTATATTTCCAAGCAAACAAAAGATGGTCGAGTATTGCGTTTATTACTTATAGGATAAATTAGGATATTTCATATTAGGATACTATTCCATATTTGGTGACTTTTCCTCTAATCACAAAAAATCTAAAATTTGTTTTTATATTTTTATGTTTCTAAACCTTCTGAACATTTTGGCATACCTTAGAAATGCCAAAATGTTCAAAAACATTTGAACAGTAATATGCATAAATTTTAATTTTTAATTTTTAATTTTTTTGAGGTTACTATAATTTACCCTACGGAAAGTTAGTTATTAGTTTTTTTGTATAATTATCAGGATTATCACTTTTGCATTCTATAAGTTTTAGATTTTAGAGCAAAATTTGGATGAAACTAATTTCAAAAAAAAAAATCAAATGATTTACAATAAAATACAAAAATTTAAATTCATATATGAATTCAAATCGGATATTTAATATTCAAAAAAATGTATATTTTTCCGATTTTTGGTTCCAAAAGGCAATGGGTGTCATTTGCGCATTGCTCATCGTATTGTGTACCGTCTGCATGGATTGTATTAATAGGTAAATCTACCAATTGCCAACTCGTTTAATTTATTAATTAATTTAATATGCAAATTTTTTTTTATTATCATTTAAGGAATAAATGATTCCGTTTCGTTCGTTCGTATCGCATGCAACATATATATTGAGTTAAATGCATAAATTTTTTGCTATTAGCAATTCTAAGACATTTTGCGTTATTATTTATACATGGCCGACTGCTTCTTGGCCGAAACTTAATTAACAATAAGGACAGGCCCGTATTTAAGGACCCCCGGGGAGAAAATTCATATTTGAAATATTTATTATTAATTATTTAATTGATATTAAATTATTATATATAATTTATTTGTTCGCAACAATTTTATTTGTTTGGGTCTAATAGGAATATTGAATAACGTTTTTCATTTCTATGCTCAATATAAATATTAAGGTTAAATTATGCTTTAATATTAACGTACGATTAACAACTGAATAAAACTATAAATATACGTAGTACGTGAAAAATCAAAATTGGTGATATTTTAAATCAACCCCTTTTTTAATTTTTATTCACCAATATTTAATCCAAATATAAAATAAAAAAAAGAGTGCGCTTAAGGTTCACACGCGATTGAAGTAAAACTTATTTGCTACTGTACAAGACAGCATTTAAGTAAAAATAAATACATCATATAACAATCTTGAATAATGTTCATTAGTAATATGGTAACACTCGCGATGCACACATTTATTAGTGTCAACCATTATACACATTTATATAATGGTAAATTATAAATTATATATTTATAATAGCATTAAAAATTTGTATAATATTTAAAAACAATAATGCAGTTAAAGTCATACTTCAAATATGACATTATCGGTTTGTCATTGTAATTAGCATTTAGAAATGAACTTTTATTAGAAAAATAAAGTAATTGCTGATTAATAACTTCTATAATATTCGTTCACACAGTGGATTATATTAA